TCATAATAATAGTAAATAACAATAATAATAAATTAGTTCTGTACAAAGTTTTGTTTCGAGCATGACAATATTATTAACATCTAAAGACGGGTAAGTGGCTAATACGCCAACCGCCCCCACAGCATATCGTTACTTTATTAACTCGATTCACGAGCTTCTATTTAGTTAGTCCGTCGCTCGACTCGACGAGAGATCTTAATGATTATCTCACCGTCGTTGTCGTGGTCGTCGTCTTCGTCAGTGTCATCGTCATCGTTGTTTCCCTCGTCGTCATAAATAAGACGTGGTCGAGGAAACACGAACGAAGAATCTGTAAGTCTTTCGAAGAGTTGTTTCAACGAACGCATCGATTCACGTTTAAAGAAAAATGAGAATCGACACGATCTTTAATGCGCCGGGTAAAACGAGAGAAAAATGAGGGAAGAAGAAAAGAAAATATAAGTTCGTGATTCGCGCGTGGTCTAATTGATTCGTGTCCCAAGCACGCGTTCCTTTATGTGTCACAGTATTACTCAAGGCTACACTTCCGTCGCGAGTGTCGTCGCTAGCGTGGTCGCATCATGCCTGTAATGATCGTCTATAACGTAAACACCGCAGGCACTGTCGACGACACCACCACCGCCGCCACCCCCACCACTTCCGGGTGGACCGGAACTTTCCGTTACCGTCGTCGGCCTTTTCAAAAGGGTCGCTTCCGCCGCGCAGCAAGCGTCACTCGGAGTATTCGCAAAGACCGAGGACCTCTTGGCGGTTTCGAGTACAGCGACACCAAGACCTAGACCCAAACCCAAACAGTCCTTCTCCTTCTGGAAGAGATGAGACGCTCGATGGGCTGCAGCCTCGGTGTTCAACTGCTTCGTTGTTCTCGTTCTACCATCCTGGAGCACCGGTTCTGCTTTGTAGCCCGAGCAGGAACTATCCAGGGTAACATCAGTCTGGAACGAGGAGTCCAGGTCATCTTGTCGGACGGTACTCGCGTTGTTCACACTCTTGTTCGCCGTCCATGTGTTCTTAATCATGTGGGCGTCTCCGGTGCCAAGAGTACAGACACTTCCACCGGCCGAGCCGATCAATCCAGCCCCAGAAACCGTACCTCCGCCCGAGACGACTCCACCACCGGTAACTCCGCTACCAACGCAACCACCAGTGATGCCACTCAGAAGTCCGACGTTACCGATTCCAACAGCTGAACCACCGCCAGCTGAACCGATGACGCTGTTGCTACCGCCTCCGAGAACACCTCCGCTGCGTTTGCTCATGCTGCTATGTACCGCGTTCCTTTCATTCTGCAATCTCGCCTCCTCGTCCGCCTTTGCCTGTTCACGCTTTTGCCGCCTCTTCATGCACATTACTGCAAGCGCTGCAACCAAGACAAAAGCTGGCACGGCCGTTGAAAGAGTTGCTATCACTACTACGTGTTCCGTTGTCAAACCGGCATCTCTAGCTTCAGCTGCTGAGGTGACGTGTTTCGATAAGTTTCCTGACCAATAGCTGGCACCCGAAGGTGGTACCGCAGCGGCAGCTGCAGCTGCGGGTAAAATAGCAGTACCACTTTCGCTGGACGAACTCGCGGCCGATGCCACCGGTAAAACTGCTGTACCACCGAGACCCACCTCCTCCGCACAACTTTCCCCGTACCATCCTTCCGGACACTCGCATAGAAAACCATTCACTCGATTCCTACAGGTGCCACCATTCTTGCAGGGTGCGCTACGGCACTCATCGACGTCAACGCTGCAATCTTTTCCCGTGAATCCAGGCTTGCACTCGCAACGATAATCATTCGTTCCGGAGATGCATCTACCACCGTTCGCGCATGGTTTCGCCAGGCAATAATCGACCTTATCTTGGCAGAGTCTACCAACGAATCCAGGCACGCATTGGCATCTAAAGCGGTTCACCAAGTCAACGCAAGTGCCACCGTTAAGACAGGGATCACCTTGGCAATCGTCGACATTGATCTCGCAGCGATCTCCAGCGAAGCCAGGAGGGCAGGAGCAACGATAACTGTTCACCATGTCGGTGCAGGTGCCACCATTTGTGCAAGGATTCGGTGAGCATTCATCTAGTTGGGATTCGCAATCGGTACCCGTATATCCTGCTGGACAATGACAAACGTAGCCGTTCAATGAATCGTCTTCGCAGATACCACCGTGCAAGCAGGGCGAGTCTCGACATGATCTTGATGTCATCTCGCAGTGGCGACCTCTCCAGCCTGGTGGGCAAGTGCATCTATAAGCTGCTCGTTGTAACTTGCTCGATGACGAGGAGCTATCGAGCGAAGAGGAAGAACCCGAACGATGATGATGATTGCCGTTTGTGTTGCTGCCGCCACTGGTGGATACGCTCGAGTTTGCGTACGTTGCTTCCATCGAACAGGAGCCTCCATTCAAGCATGGCTTCGAGTGACAGTCCAAAAGTTGTGTCTGGCAGTCCGTACCAGTGAAGCCCGGCGCGCAGGAGCAGGTGTACGATCCTTGGCCGGTGTTAAAGCAGGTGC